AAGAAAATAAGTTTATGTTATTTTAGGGCTCTGCTTTTTATGATAAAAGGGTGAAAAACCAGTTTATGGCCGGCCTGATGGTAAGCGGCCACCATAGCCTATAGACGCTTGCGAAACCAAAGATATCACTGGCGCCGTTTCCTACCCTGATCCAATCCTCTGCCCCGTAAAGCCCTGGAATATTACCCACTAACAGAAACACAAAACCACAATAGGCACCGGCAGGATGGTGGTTGTAGTACATAGAAAAAATATATACATACTTACTTTTACCGAACTAAACTAGGGGGGTGGTAGCCCACGGAAACAAAATATATAAAAAATATATCTTAAAACACAGAACATAGAGAGTCACATCATGGGTCAAGCTTTTCATTACTTTGCCCATGGTTTCTCCCAAAATGGTGTCGCAACCGTCACCTCGCAGATATTAAAAGCCATGAACCATCCTTTTAGGATCTACTTTTAACAACATAACACATACATACATACATAACATACACCTGTACTGGTGGAGATGATTGAATAGAAGGAAATCAACGAACAGCCTGTCGATGATAGGCTCTAATGTAATTCCTGCAAGCAATGGAGTCACGAAAAATGCACGGATTGCTAGGAAATATTTCTTAATAACACTGTGACTGACCTATGACTGGATCCTACCACCTCTTAACCTTAGGATTATTTATTCGTACCTATATATAAAATACAGAATTTTTATTTGATATATGCTGCTGTGCCAATTGTCAGTTTCCCAAAATACCTATTTAGTCATCTATTTAGTCGTCTTTGCCCATGGTTTCTCCCAAAATGGTGTCGCAACCGTCACCTCGCAGATATTAAAAGCCATGATGGTCATCCTTTTAGGATCTACTTTTAACAACATTACCAAACGGACTCAAGATGGTGGTCGATATCCCATTAGGGTCGTCTGATCGTTGCCTGGTTCGTTCTACAGCCCCCGTTGCTTGCGCTCACCGGGTAATGGTTCTCACACAGTCTGGCAATATAAGTTAGCAAATTGGGATGGTCTTCGTGAGTTCTTTGCATCTTACCCGTGGAAACGGTTCTGCTTTTCCTCCAATAACCCTGACACATGTTCCGATTGTGTAAGTGACATGCTACTTATGGGGATGGGTTTATTCATTCCCAACCATAAAATAACCATCGGTGGCCGCAGTCACTCTTGATTTAATAAAGTCAGTGTAAACGCTGCACGTGCTAAACAGTCGGCATATAATTCATGGCATTCGGCTAAAACGTGTTAGGCTCCGAATTTGACTGTAAACAGAGAACAAAGTAGCTCTTTTGCGAATAGATATGATAAAAAAACAATTTCGTAATACCTCTGTTGTTGCATTAGTAGATAGGACACTACTAAACATTATTTATTCTGGTAACCTATAAAAGCTAAATAGATTTATTAGGATGAAAACGATTGAAAAATTGCGTGGATGGATAGCCGGAATTCGACGACAACGCAAAGAACATATTTTAACAATATACTATATCACGTATGTACGAATACAGTATCCACATATTTTTACTGCTTCGACCTTCCTATTTGTGCCGCATTTTATATCTCGACGGAGGAAGAGGCGGGCATATCGTGTCATGCGACGAGCCAACTTAAGGGCAATATATTTCGTCGGCAAGTTTCTCGAATAAGTTATTTATACTGCGCAGGGAAAGAGAAATTTTTACTCATTTAAATATATATATATATACAATATGCATAAAAATCTTAAGAGGGCATAGCGTATCTGCCGCTCGAATCGGAAAAGTAGGGGAACCACAGGCAAAAAGGATACCCTCCATTATTACAAAACGGTGTTCCCAAGAACGCCCCCCCTGTCATGGCACCTTCTGACTGCCGAAGGTTTTCAAACATTTCCCGCTCATTTTCTTTAATATAGTTAATACCAATGCAAAAGAAAAAATAGAGGAGCGAGGCATTTGAAAACCTTGGGCGTTCAGAAATAACAAAATGAAATCGTAACCATAGCAATACTGATAGGCAATTAGCCCCCAGACGTCGATTGTGAAAATAACTACGCTTCCTCTTCCCAGCCAGCCAGCGGGCCTTTGTGAGAGCATCAGTCTGCATGGCACGGTTCCTGTGATGTGTGGTGTCCCTAATGTGCCAGGGAACCACGCGTCAGGGTGGGCCCGGCAACGAACAATCACCGGCTGGGCTACGGAGTACTGTGGGGCCGCGGAGTACTTCGTTCTCGCGGTTTCAACCCGTACTCTCAAGACGCATTAGTGGGACCTATTACGGGACGCATTAGTTTTTTTGGGTAGGGCCCTATTCATTTCATCGAGCCTTTGGGGCTGGATGAAATGGGTAGGGCTAGATACCCTGCTCGTGCTACTCGTGCTACCTGCTGGGTGCCGCACAACCTCACCAAAGCTCAGAAGCATACAGTGGAGCAGTGGATTGGTACAGTGATATGATACAAAAATTTGATGCAGGCTCATCACGGCGCGTTTACGATATAGTGACAGGTGACGCATCCTGGATTTATCAATACGATCCAGAAACAAAGAGTCAGTTGATAGTTTGGCTGTTTCTTAATCAACCAACGCCTACGAAAGTAAAGCGATCGAGGAGCGCAGGGAAAATTTTTATCGCTAGTTTCTTCACTTTGACGGGGTACCAAATTTCTATTCCACTTCGGGACCAAAGCAACATTAACGCCGAATAATATAGCACAAAATGCCTGCCAGAAGTTTTTTCTGAAATGAGCAACAAGCGACCTAACACCGGGCTCTGCGTGGTCCTTCTTCACCACAACGACGCGCCCGCGCATTCTGCGATCAAAACGAAGAACTCCACACCAGTCAGTCTTGGGACACCCTCCTTTTACAGTCCTGATTTGGCTCCGCGTGACTTCTTATTATTCCCTAAAATAAAAAATCAACTCAAAAGGATACAGATTCATCGCTGGAAGAAGCGCTAGCAGCCTTTGAGAAGAGCGTGGAAGAGGTGTCTGCGGAGGACTGGAAAAAATGTTAAGAAAATTGGTTCATGAAAATTTGTATATAGGCTGGCGGAGAGTTCTTTGAAAAGATTTAATAAAAATATTTTTATCATAGAAGTTAGTTTTTTAGTTTCTCAAAACTTTCTGAGTGTCCCACGTATATTATAATATATGTATGTCTTACGCATATTATTCCTTATAATTGATGTAGGTACTATCTTCCTTTCACTTAATAGAAAAATGTAAACAAGTATCGGTTTGCTCGGGGCCCTGTGACGGTTTTCGGAAAAATAAATTGCATATTTACGACCTTCAATTTATGCTGTAAAACCCTGCACATAAATTTATCTGAATCAACGCTGGTTAATATTCTGTTTTGGCATTCTCCTTATCGTAAAAAAGAATACGGCCGTTTATGTTGCCTACAAATTTGTACGGAACCATCAGTAGGCGAGTCCGACTCACACTTGTCCGATATTTTGATAGCTTTTTTTATATAAAAGTTACCTAAATACTACGTACTACTTGTGCATAAAATATACTTGATCTAATTAATTACAGTACAGCGTTGAAAGGTTGAGTTGACACGCGTCTCCGTAACGTTTGTGAAAAGCATTCCAGGCGTAACATTGAGCTGAAAAATAGTTGTGTGACGATTAAAGTATTTTAATCCTCGTTTGAGCCGGTGACCCTTGTCTCATAACCGGAGACCTACAAAGGATCCCCGACAGCTGCGGCTTTCTCACCTTTGTTGCTTCACATGCTTTTGTATACCTACTATTTTTCCAGCTAACCTTGTAAATCATAAATCAGCAATTTTTATTTTTACGGTTGCGATAATTTTTCTATGAGATAAGACTTTTGAGCGTTTAAAAAAATAGAATATATATTTAAAGGTACAATTCCGCAATGGGCTGCAGGCACTGTCACCGAGGCTAGCGCCTGCGGCTGACAGTACATTATATGCATTGTGCAGCCGCGACATGTCGCCGCGCTTGAAATCAATTTCATAGAGATTCATAGAAACTAGTAGTGTCGCCTGCAGTCTGCAGCTGCGGCCTGAGGTCTGCGGTTCAGTTGCGACTTGTACCTTAAAAATAAAATAAAAGAAACAGGTAAAATTAATTAAGAGTAATTACTCTTAATTTATTTGCTTCATTTAATGTCTATCTCTGTCAAAGCAGTTATTTCTATTTTGACGGCTGAGATGAGTTTTATATGAGAGAAAAATTCGGCAACGTTTAAAAAAATAAAATAGAAACAAATAAATAGGATTTTAGAAATAGAAAATAAAACAAACGAGTACAATTACTGTTAATGATACTGGTATATTTTATTTTCAGGTATAAAACTCTTTTAGTAAAAATGCTTTTAAACGCGTTCATTAGAATTTTTACATAATTCTTGACATTTCGGATCCTTTTCGGGTACGTCGGTCACAAGACTAAAAATAATAGAATATTTTTCTATTCTTTCAGTTATTTCAATTTGGAATTTCTAATAAAATTATCAGAGAATCAAATTCTGTAGGGTCTTTGGTGAATAGGTTCTATACTATTTCAAAAGAATATGGGCTGGTTTGAAATTGTTAACTAATGAAATTAGTTAAGAACGTACTTTTTTTATAAAGAAAGTCTGGTTACTTCCCTCCGTAATCATAATGTAAAGTGTAGAAACTGGACTGTACCAAATTTTCTAAGAAGTCATTTCATTAGATAGGTACCTACTGTTGAAAATTATACCGTAATATTAAACTATACAAAACAATTCCTCATATCGAAGCAAACAACATCGCAAGAAAAGCGGTGACACGCGACCTTGCCTTTTTGTACTCTTTCTGGAAAGAGAACAGTTTTCACGTTAATTTTTCATAAGGCCAGTAACCAAAACAATGCTAATTTTAATTTTTGATGCGAAATTGTGCACCGCGCATGTGTCAAAATACACGTACAGTTTGTGCGCGTGCGCGAAACTTCGGCAAGATGGCGGAGAGTGCCAGTCACCGTTCCATTTCGTGGCGTTCGATTTTCGTCTCAAAACAAAATATTCGACATCCCTTTGGAATGTCACAAACTGTGAAGTGAATGTGTGTGATTAAAATAAACATTGTTAAGAAAACAATCGACAATCGGACCTTACGTATCCACATGCAAGATGCGAGAGTCACCTAGGACCGCGGATAGTTAGTCAGTGTGTTGACAGATCAGTGGCAATCACTGAAGATGAACGATTACACTTTTTTATTAGCACTTCAACGTTGATCGAGTGGCGTATACATCGACACGGTGTCGCCGGTTTTAATCGATATTAATCTCTGCGAAAGTGGGTAGAGGGAACAATTTGATAACGAGACAGGAACGTGCGTTCCTACGTTCCATTACACAGAAGAAGATAGAGAAAAAACACGGACGCTTCTCGAGAGGGCGAGAGCATTTTCAATTCCGCAGGTAAGTTTATTTACTTTTATGTTTTCCTGTAGTAAAATCGCACGGAGCGGCACAAAGGGAAGTGCGTTTTGATTTTCGCTATGGGACCAAGTCGTTCCAGCTTTTTCTTCTTTCAAATGCCAGTTTTATGTGTTGCGGTCTTGGCGAGTCATCTTTAATGTCCCCCGGTGCTATAAAACGTTGATTACCATTGCCCACTGTCTGTGAAGGAGTGTATACATTTTGATATACCTACCTACCTAAGTTTAGGCTAGTATTTATGATCGGTTAAATTCATTTTGTTCAGCGATGACATGTAGTTATCACTACATAATTATAACACAAAGTTACCCGCTACGTCTATGTTCGTAATGATGTTGTCTAATCTATAGAATATTGGGTTTTCTTGTTGTTTTCTCCGCAAGATATATATTTTTTCACGGTAGGTATACTATGTTAATACGTGCCCCAGATCAAAAATTATAGTCTACACCGAAACAAATTCAGCACGATTCACTACTATAATAAACAAATAATAGGATTAGTACAATGTCGCCATCAGCCTTTTCATGCCCCCAACTGCTGGGGCACAGGCCTTCTCTATGGATGGAGTAGGGAGATAGATAGTACAACGAAGTTGTCATAAAACCCAGGTAAAGTTACTTGTGCCTAAGCAATGAAACTAGAGGACAATATACTAATATTGTCTTTTATATTCGATTGATACATTTCATTTTTAAAAAATTGAAGAATTTTAAAGTTCGTTACCGATACTAAAATATAATAAAAAAGTTTAATATCAATTACATCGTTAAAGTGCGTCAAAATGTAACCCTTTTTGCATGGATATTGATTTGTATTTCTGAGGAACAATCTATCACGTTGTAAGAATTATGTCGAAATTAATTTCTAACCTAATTGTTTGCTCTTTATTTATTCAAAACCATCCTTTGCGTTTAGATGTGTCAGCTTAACAGGAAAACATCAAGGACTTTTGTATGTTAAATATTTATTGGCACCCATAATATAATATGCGGAACGCTCCCTGAATTTTTAAAATGCATGCCAAATGGTTTTTTATCGTTTGCTTAGGAAGACAAAGGCTGTCATTTCATGTGCAATGTTTTACAATGTTGATTTCATTAAGCCTTTTGTATTCGTGTAACAATACCTATAATATTTATCATAATATTAATGGGTATGTGAAAAAAGAAAAAAACATGTATCCGTTTATAAGAACATTTTGCTCTTTTATGTTAATGATTTTGCTTAATAAAAAAATATATAGAGAAGGAGTCCAGAAGCTCATATTTTATGTAAAAATGTACTAGAAATACATTAAGTTAATAAAATAAACATTACACAAATTACCTACCATACATTTTAAGATTTTACATACGTTAATGTCTATGACAGAAGAGCAAAAGACGATTTGGAAGAAACCATATCTGTTCTTCTATCTGTTTGTAGCTTAATTTGTCATGAAAAACTTGAAGGAAATAAAATAGGATAATGATGATAATATGTACGGAAAAACAAATGTCGTAGTCGATGTCGCGTGTACAGAATGTAATGAAATTCCATGGACTCATGTTCCACTGGAGTGAAAACTGATAGTCTCTTAGTTAACCCGAATAAGTGTAAAGCTATGATTGTCGGTAGCAGCAGGATTAGATGCAAATTAGACTGGAACTTGATACCTCCCATTAAATATAACGACGTGCCTAGTTTGAAGTGAAAGTAAAAAACCTGGGCTTAATTATGGATAGCACAATGTCATGGTCCCCACATATTAGTGAAGTCAGTAAACGTATACACTACTCATTTCATTCCCTCAAGCGGCTTCAATTTTTTTTCCCTTCAAAACCAAAATTATGGTGGCGCAATCACTCCTGCTCCCCATTCTCGACTACGCCGATATTTGCTACTTGGATGTAACTGAAGATCAATTAAATAAGCTAAAGCGTCTCCAAAATCTTGCAATTCGTTTCATATTCGGATTGCGTAAATATGACCGAGTTATTTGCTCACATGTTTATGTTTTGTGTCTTACAATTTTTTTTGTGTGCAATAAAGAGTATATATAAAGATAGAAGAATAAGGTATATAATTTGGATTACAATAACGCTAATCACACCTCTTTGCATCTGTCGTGTCTGAAGTTACATAAATTCTAACACACACCAATTAGCCTAGCTTCAAAATAAGCACTATCACTATAAGACTTGAGTTATGCGATACTAAAGTAACGAAAAGAATAAATATACATATCTTTATGTTGGTATATTTATCAAAAATATACATGAACATCCATGGCTTAGGTGCAAATGTTCATATTCATCATAGAAACTTTGGCCCACCCGGATTCGAACTCAGGAACTCTGAGTGGGAGACACTTTGGAACCCAGCGTACAACATACCACTCACAACACGTGTGTCGTCTGGAAGAGGACTTGTTCATGAAGTTTTCAAACCTACAACCTCTCACAACCCATGGATTGGGTCTGGATGGGCAACGATGCGAATTATATTTTTGGTATTGCAAGCATCTTTTATGGTGGCCGCTTACCATAAGGTGGGCCACATGGTTGTTCGCCACCTTTTTAACTTTAAAACGACTTTTTTACTATCAGGCACGATCCGAAAGAAGGCGGTCGTACTCGTAAAAGTTAATAAGGTAAATGTTTAAAGGCTTTATAAATGAAATAAAGAAAATAATATGTTTCACACACCTTGCTCTGAAGTCAAAGAAAGAGGATAAAACACTTGTGTTATTGAAATTAAACACAAACAAGGTACCACAAAAACCCACGCAGAAGACAAAGTAGAAACTTTTTTTGTAAATATAAATTTGTTTTGTGTTATACTTACATGCCGATATAATACTGCGCGTTAGATTCAAATGGAATATGATGAAAACAATATAATCAAATGGAATATACAATCTGTATTGACAGAATAAGATTTTCATATAGACCTAGGTAGTCAAAAGAAAATTCCTGTAAATAAACTCTAAAAGCATTTTCGATATCGCTAACTGAACACCGCTCTATTATAATAACGCCTTATGAAAAGGGAAGAAAGCATTTTGATGGCATTACAAGTTCGTAATAATTACCTACAAAGTTAAATGTTCTCTATTTTGAGCTGTACAAAGTGCAATTTGCCCGATCCGATCTTTCTTTATTAAACGAAATTAACTCGCTTTCGTCGAACCTCCTTGTAGCATTTTCTCTTTCATCGTTCACAACAATAGCTCTGCTCGTCTTTTGTTTTTCCTTAGTACTCCAGCTGCTTATAGTTTTAGAATATTTTGTGATAGGTACAGACATAACTGCGTAGTGGATTTATACCTATAAGTGGTTTACTCGAGGATACTAGTAGAATCTTAGCTTCGTTTAAAAGGGATAAGCATGATGAAATTTTTTACTTTGCAAAAATTGCTCCGAAGTCGTCATTATCTGCTTAACGTCACTACTGGATCCAAGGTATTCCTTATGAATAAAATAGGAAGAAGGGGCCATAACCCACCCCGTGGTTTCAGTGTAGATCTTTTAATGTGTAAAACCGCAGATGCAGCCGGGACCTACAGCTTAACGTGTTTTTTCAAGAAAAAAATGCTAGTGAGCAAATTATTTGACTGACTATTACGAAAATTGTACTAGTTCTATAATCGCAACATCGATCGTCTCTTTCTCTCCGCAACATTAACACTATTAAATAATAAACTTAACCTGAAGATTTGTTGATAGAAAAAAACTACCAACCCGCGCTGGGTCCCTTATCACCCTCCAATGCGCACTGGGTCCATTGTCACCCACCAATCCGTGCTGGGTCCGTTTACACCCACAATCCGCACTGGGTCCGTTATCACCCACCAGTTCGCGCTGGGTCCGTTATCACCCACTAATACGCTCTGGGACCATTGTCATCCACCAATCCGAGCTGGATCCGTTATCACATTCCAATCCGCACTGGGTCCATTATTACCCACCAATCCGCGCTGGGTCCATTATCACCCTCCAATCCGCGCTGGGTCCGTTAACACCCACCAAGCACTAGATTCATGTATTTTGTGACGGGTATTGTTCATTATTTACGATGAATCACCGATGACACTAATCGTAACGCGAAATCGCAACACATTCACCAGTTTACCCCCCAAGTCTAGCGTGCCTAACAATGTTTCACTTCAATAAAAATCTGAACGTTTAGATGTTTCTTACTCAATCACGCAAAAAGGTGGTATAGAATTGGATGTGTCATATGGTAAACCTAAGATAGGGATCATTTAATTCCAAAGAAACATTAGGTCGAAACTATCGGCTGAACTTATTAGTCTTCGGGTAGATAATCTGGAATTTTTATCCCTACTAAAGATTCATAAGGGAAAGTGGGGATGTTTTATCCCTTCTACAAAGGTTACTTAGGGATTGTTTAAATTCTCAAATCCACGAGGACAAAACAAATCTGCGGGCGGAGACTGGTATCTGATAAAATTATCAACGCATAAAACGTATTCAATACAATTGTCAGCCCTCCAGAAACATGAAGAATATTGAAAAAATACGTTTAATTTCCTGCAGAGATGTCGTGTAAAATAATTACGTCCGGGTTGCTCCGGCGCGGACCCTTGCTTGTCACTCTTGCGGCATGACAGCTGATCTGACTGTAGTTGCCCCCGAGAATGAGATGAGCTCCAAATTGTTCGAAATTCCAATCGTGAGGTTTCGAATGAGAATATTTGAGAGAGATAGCTAAGCTGTAGTATGGCCATGGAGAGAAGCAACCATATCATACTGAAGAAAAGCGCTAGACTAAGACCTTGATTATGGTTCACGGGGTTCGTCTTTTAACACAATTTGTTGATGAGATCATTTCAAGTCAATTTATAGCTGGAGACCTATTTCGAATTTGCCTGGTGTCTAGAACCACCGCTACGCTGGCTATTTTCTTAGGCCAGGGCTAAATTCCCATCTCAAATTGTCGTTCTCCTGTGAACAGCAGCGACAGTCTTTTAT